TTTAGAATCGGTAGAAAACATCCTCCTCAATCTGCATAATTGTTCACCTCCTACTCAGCCTCATTCAATAATTGCTAATAATCAATACTTGCAAATTCGGTAACTCCAAAGACTTGGAAAGACTTAATGTAGAAGCTATTTTCGATTTAGATTTCAACCAAAACGTTGATTGATAGGCAAAGAATTGTCAAACCTTCTTTTCCTCTGAAGCATGCTTCAGCAGTTGCGCAGTAAGGTTTCTTTAACGGGGCGCTGTCTTTATTATACACACACCAGTAACAGCTTACTATTCCCTCGCACGTCCGAGAGCTGTTTCTCTCACTGCAGCGAGGATCAAGCATTTCTCTAATGATGCTTTAGGATCATGACATTTCTTCCCGGAGTCAGGTGGGGTGGGGATGTTTGGTAACTGCAACAAAGGGGCTGGAGGCGGGCATATTGGAAGACTGAAAACCATAAGATACAAATGGGCGGTTGTTAGTGTCATCACTAATAACGGATGCGTACGAAAATCCAAGCGTCAAACTTGGTAAGAGGGATAACGTGGAAAGACTATTTTTTTAAAAAAAGTGACTCATGCGGTCTGGGCTTTGGATAAGCCCTACATGCTTTTCCGTTCTTGGAGACCTACATGCATTTACATCTTATAGGTCATTCATTCAAAATGATGGCCACTTTGGATTTTATTTTTTACTAAAGCTCAGATACATGCAAAAAGTCAAGAGACCAAGCGTTTGTCATGCTTAATGTTAATTTTCTTTGAACAGCTAAAAATAATGACAGTTAATTATTGACTGATCTGAGAGCAGCACTGCTGTCAAAACTGACCTGCTGTTTGGAAACTCACTTCGGCAATAGTTAAATTCTAGGTCAGAGGTACAGGGACATTCACACTTTGTGAACGAACGAAAACACTTGTAATATGAAAAACAGGTACATGATTCAGCAGCACACAAAGATCCCTCAAAGTAACTCCTGTGGAAAGATAAAGCAGACATATAGGTAATACCAAGGTAACACCTCAGGCGATAAGAAAAATTCTGCAAACTCTTTCCATACTAATGATTTAGATAATTTGTTTTCAAAATTTTTCTCTACTCTCGCTTCAGACAGATGAACGTCTGTTTTAGGAATGATCGTAAAACGAGAAACTTGTCTCTTTTTACTCAAAGAACACAGCTCCATCTGCGAAATTTTGCCATGACGTTTTTTTTGTTTTCTTTTATTAAGTGAGGTTTATGGGCAAATACTCCATGAGTGAAATAGTTCGTGTATTCATCTGAAAAACGTTATAGTTCTGTTAATAAATACATAGGTGGTGTTCATTTTAACAAAAATAAGTGAGCCTTTTTTCAACGTGAACGAGTTAGATTATATTGACAAATGGCGTCGATAATATAGCAGCAGTTTCAGTTTCATGCACTTAGAAATTTTTAAACATTTAGTAGTAAATCAGCGTATTGGTATTGATTAAATTTTTAATAGTGTAAGTAGCAACCTAACCTTGGAAGTACTTTGATTATCTTTTGCAAAATTCTGTGGTTCGCCCGCGACAACTATATGCGTACACGTAAACGTCATTTACAAACCTAGATAAGCATTAGTGCCAACAATCTTGTTGAGTTGGTATTTACTGCAGCTGTCTCCACTTTTCAGGACGTCGACTCCCCCATCCGGCAAGTCAACCTCATAAAAACTCTGCTTTTGGATTTCCTTAAGGTTGCGGCATTCTCGTTTTTTCAAGAAGCAATTGTAATGAGATGCTCCGCAATATTCTTTTCTTTAGTAGTAATGTGAACATATTCCAAGTCTTGGGCCTTTTCGGAATGTGCTAGGAAGTCTTCGTGCATGATAAGGAATCCGGCGCTATCCATAACGAAGCACGAATATATATTTCTTTCTCTACACTTTGGATACACTTCGGTGAGTAACTTAAAATTTTAGTTCAAATGAAAATAATCAATAGTGTGTGAATATCACTCACTTTATATGTTAATGAAGACTGAAGAAGAAGGAGAAGACAAAGCACTGACAAAGCAGGAGGAGGAGGAGGAACAAGATAGAAGAATATTAAGGCAGTAATGAAAGAGTCAAATCATTTCTGAAGGTGGTAATTTCTACCATTTTAATAGTCCCCAAAAGCACTTTATGAGCCTAATAGCTCTTGACTGATTATTACTTTAGTTCGTTATCCTATTTTTTAAATCAAAACATTAAATTGTCTGTCGTCCTTTTCATTCAGTTTAACAAAAACTTTCCTGACAAAAGTCGGGAATGTTTGACTCAAATGCGCAAGCGTTGTTTTGAGCTAACCTGTAGAAATACGTTAATGAGAAATCAGCTCCCATAACTCCAAAAACTTCGTCATTTGTGTGATGATGGTGACTTGACTCCCCCCGATACAGTGAGCGAGCGACAGTTATAACCACTCCAGCACCTCTACCAGTAGGTTGGCCGGCGTGCAAATATGGGGTTAGACTAGAATGGGCTAGCGTGAATTGATCAAACATCCTTTTAATTTCTAAGGCTTCCTTTTCGGCAAATAAAAGGAACTGAATGTAAAAAGTGAAAGAGAAATAGCTAAAAATTCAACTTCTTATTAAATGTTTTGTTATGGTTTAGAATAAACTACTTTTTTTTTTATTTTATTTTATTTGCCACACTAATTACAAAAAATATAGGAAAAGAATAAGAAGAAAAAAAAAAGAAGTGGCGAGGAGACCTAACAGAAACTATAGGAGCTTATGAGAGGTTAGGCCTCCTCGAACTATGAGCTAGAGCTGTTTCACATCAATTGAAGAGAAGAAAGCGAAAAGTCGAAGATGGAAAGATTTATAAACTGTTTTCATACTTACTCAATAATTTAATCTTCAGTTTTTTCTTAAAAGAGGAGAGGGATTGAGAGTTGATGATCTTGTTGTCAAGTGAATTAAAAAACTTAGGCCCTTGAAAAAAGGGCGAGAACTTCTTCGTGTTTGTACGACAATACGGTAGACGGTAGGCCTGGGAATTTCTTGTATTGTAAGAGTGGAATTGATTGCTTTGAGAGAAATTGTTATTAAACTTTGGAGGTAAGAATGAATTTTTGCAAGAATACATAAATTGGCCCAGTTGAAGCAAATGGATATCATTAAATTTTAGTATACCGAGGTCCTTAAAGATGGGGTCAGTATGAGCATTAAAATGTGATTTATTAATTAAATCGAAACTCTCGAAACTGAGAATGTTTTGAGCAAAGCTGTGTAAATCGAGCTGAAACTGTGCATGGAACCTTGCGTTTCCTGTATTTATCACACCTATTGTATGGAATATGTGTGAAAATCTTCATTATGAATCGGTATATTTCAAAGAGCTTCACAACCAGCAAGAATACTATTGACCAACAATATACAGAACGGGGGCAACTGTAGTGTCAACTATTACTATTCAGGAAAGTACTTACAGTTGAAATATACAGTCATACAGTCAATATAGAAAAAAATCTCGATTTGCTCGAACAGGGGCCGCGAGGAATCGGTAGGTAATGTTGACGTTTCTATTGTTTGCGCCCGCAAGTACGAAATGGTTAGGATGCGGTAAAGACAGAACATCCCCAAGGGACCGCTTAGGTAGATTTGTGACATTTATTGTGAAGTCATACTTCGACACTCTTTTGCGTTACGTGTTATCAGTGGCATTCTGTGGAGCAGTTGTTTCAGTGAAAGTTATAGACCAAAACTTTGACGACACTCGTTAAGCGCAGAAGAAGTTAAAAGGCGCGTATAACTGTGTATATATAAACACTTGGAAAGTTTGCCAGACACGAGTTCACAAATCTTCCATTGGAAACCTTGCCAGACACTCTTTCTCTCCCTTTGACCGGAATAAGACTCTGGCCCAAACAAGCAAGACGAGTGAACAACGGCTAGCTTCGCACTATCACAACCATGGACGATTACAGAAATTCTCCGACAATCAAATTCTGTGCTGACTTACCCTGCTCACAGATGTCCATCCGCTATAAAGTTTAAAATAAGACTAGAATGCGCGAGTGTGAATTGATCAAACGTCCTTTTAATTTCAAAGGCTTCCTTTTCGGCAAATAAAAGGAACTGAATGTAAAAAGTGAAAGAGAAATAGCGAAAAATTCAACTTCTAATTAAATCTTTTTTTATGGTTTAGAATAAACTATTCTCGAAACTGAGAATGTTTTGATCAAAGCTGCGTAAATCGAGCTGAAACTGTGCATGGAACCTTGCGTTTCCTGATTCCCAGGTTCAACCTCAAGTCCTTCCATTCGACTTGTTTCCTTTCCATACAGCTTTAAAAAGCACCGATGGACAGAGAGGGGTGACGTGAGCGTATCGTGGGCCTCAGGTCTGTTAGTCAGATGACTATTTCGAGCTACCGACGAAAATGACGGACACCCTTTACTCTTTAAATAATTACAGGTTTTCCCACCCTCCGCATCTGTTGTAGACCTTAAGGTAATAAACGCACCTTTTACGCGAAATAATCTGGAGGACGATACTTCAGCTTTATGACTAACTGGATATGTTTTTATTTTTATAATAGGTACCATGCCGCGCTCAGAAACACGGGACGTGTTTCTTTATCCACTCCTTACATAGACGCATTTGGATCAGGAGTAGTTATAACTGCTTCCCACACTATATACCGCGGTGAAGCTACTCACAAACACAGCGCAAATGACCAGGTCATTGGTGTTATGGGTGCAGACTTTCCTTTGTCTTATTTTCATAAGTAAGTTATTCATGTTGCTCTTTATGTCGACTAGCAAAATAGTGGGGTGATTTTTTTTTACAGTGTCGTGACAGAGCCAGTAAGGCTTTTTTTAAGAATGCTTTTTATCGAGAAGATAATGTTGCTTTTACTACTAGACGTCCCCAAGAACTAAATTAACCACATATTTTCTGTCAGACTCTTAACGGACACTTTTCCCAGAAGCAAAGGATGGCAACTACGAATGCTTTGTGTTAGACGGAGCTGGTTTTCTCGTCATGCACAAAGACTTTTTGTCGCCAGACATTAAAGCAAAAGATCTGGAGTACGTCCACATTACAGCAACAGAAAAAGAGATAGCCGAGGACCTTTTACAGAAAGGACATTTGGTAAAGAAAAAATGTAGAGACTTGGAAAAGATTCACACGGAAAATTTCTACGAGCTGAGCATCCCGTTTCAAGGCCTCAAGACACTGACAACAGGACAGCGATGTAGGCAATACCAGCTTGCTAAAGTTGCCGGAAGTAATGCATTTTTAGGTAAGTCTTCTCTGGAAAATTAAGTGATCTTGGGCAAAATTGTCATTTTACTTTAGAGAGATGATATTCGAAGTAAGAATCCCTGGAAGCATAAAGGGTATTAAAATATTAAAATATTTGCCTTCATCGTGAATGTCATTCTCGTTTAGGTATCAAAAATCGGGATGATTCCTGTCCACTTGGAAGTTGCATCACATGCGGAACCAACAGAGAATGCTCCAATCCACCGGTGTCAAGTTGCGAGTGTCCATGCATTTCACGGCTTGACTTTCATTACTGCAGAAATGAATTCCCAGCCGGCAAGTAAGCACATTTAAAATAACAAGACAAACACGTCTTGACCATTATTGTACACATACACTAGCTTTATTGACTTTTAGTTTGTTAATCTGTATACAATGCAACCAATACAGAGCTTACCGCTGTACACTGTTTTCTAGATCGTCGCTTCAAATGTCGGGTTGTGCCAGATCAAAAAGTTCATGGGCACGAAAGTTTACCTAGAAAGAATAAACCTAAACTGAAATGGCAAAGAAAATTAAAAAACAGAACAAAACATGCTAAAAAGAAACAAACAAATTAAATAGTAGATCTTTAACTAAATTTGACCTTTGTGGTGAATATACACCTTTATTTTTTTTCTGAGCTTACCGGCAAAAGCGGCCGGAATCCTCCAAATCCTGCAATTTTATTGGTTCCGAGACCGGGCGGCTTTTTACGATCTTGCCCGCTAACCCGGGGGGAATTGTTGGCAGCTTTATTCACAAGTTGTTGTTTGTGAATGAGCAGAACCGGTGATTTTTAACCATTTTTAATTTAAAACTTGCGCTATTATTAGCATTAGCTAGGGAAAAGTGAATTTTGTTATTCAGACAAAACATCGGAAGGGAGAATCAAGCAAGTCAGCCAGGAAAACCACTAAAGAAAAGCAAAACAGGAGGCTCGTAATGTCGTATCACTAGCTTTATAACCTACGCTGTAAGTACTGCAATCTTGCTCTTATGCACCGTTGATTCGACATTTTTCCTCTGTTTGTAGCTTTGTTTTCCATTTTGCTGTATGAGTCTAGATTCTGCGCCGTTTTTCATTGAATTTTGCCTCGCTAGTTATTTTACTTTAATTTCAGAAATGGTTGTTGTCAACGACTGCATGTAGCTGTCAATCTTGAATAAACACGCACGAACAACAGTTTCTCCCAATACGGACCTCCCAGCCAGTGAATAACATATACGTACTGGGACTAAAATAAGCTTGTGCGTAACATCTTATCAGTTAATACAATACACCTAGAACAATATAGCGGGATTCACCCATCTCTGTAAGTATGGCATGGGGTATACAGCACTGCACATATTCAAAGATTAATTAATTATTCGTCAATAGTGGCCTATTGCAGCTATTAAATAATAGCAAGGCCTAGTGAGTCCAGCACCTTGATATTAGTTCGTCACCTAGCTAAGTCTTGTCACTTATGTTAAAGTTCAGCCAGTATTTAGCTTAACCCCTGTATCAAGTAAGAGATCTTTCCATAAAGGATTTCCAGAAACACTTACCCCAGTCAACAGTTATCCCTAATATTCAAAATAATAGTTTATTTACGAAAACGATGAACTCTTTCTGTTTTTTTCCTGCAGTGTGTCCATTTGTCCAGTACCAGCGCCTGTTGTCCCTTCTGAACAAGTAAAGGATCCTTCCATAAAGGATTTACAGAAGTGCTTTGATCCTCAGTGCGACAAAAAACTAAGTTCAGATTCTTGTGATGGAATCGTGGGATGTTACTGGTGTGTCCGCGATAAAAACGAAGCTCCTCTTAATGACAAATACTGCGTCGACATTAATTCATGTTACGGAGGAAAGGAAGGTAAGAGATTAACTATTATCATGAGAGAGATAATTAACAATTATTCTTTGAAATCGAGGTGAATAGTGGCTAAATATTTACCGAGACCCGAGGTAAATATTCCCAAAGCCACTATTCACCGAGATTGAAAAGAATAATTGTTTTAGTATATACACACGAAGTGATCTTAACAAAATCAGAGAGTAAACCGTTAAAAAGTACGATTTGATTGACAGATAGAACTGACGCGTAAGTTTAAAAATAGATCTTTGCAGAATTTCCTTACCTGAGAAGAAAAGTAGAGCTTTGTTGTTTTCTGTTGACTCGCCAAGTTTATAGCCAAAAGGGTTTGTTGTGTCGTTCCTCGCATGAAGTGCTGACAAAAATGGCTGCTTGGTTGCTCGAGGTAAGACGTCGTCTTCCCGTATCATTCTTTTTCCTGTTTACTTGAAACGTAGAATTTCCTTTTAAATTTGTTTGTCATAAATAAACTTCGATTTTTGAGCCCAAATTTTCTTTTTAGGAAACGCTGAGTTAACGAAACGGCTTCTTCTACGCGAATACAAGGGAGTTGTAAACAATCCATCGAGCACAAAACTCACCTACAGTAAATTGAAAGACGCCGTATTGAAGCCTTCCAAGTCTTTTCTTGCCTTACAAAAAGTCAGCCCTAGGATTCTGTCGACTTCTAAAAGATCGTTCTCTAAAAAAATGGGAAAAACACCGAGCTCACACATTATCCACTCGCTAGGAGGTGAATATTGTTGAATAGGCCGAGATAGCGAGCCAATCAGATTGCTTAAATCACCAAGATCACTGCGTGTGTATATACTAATCTGCAATGGAACGAGTTATATCAATAATAATGAAATAATAAAATAACAAATGTGACATCATCATTAGGATCATCACTATTTTCTTTTTCTATTTATTCAGCCTCATCAGTAGCTGCATCTAAAAACGAACCTGTAGTTCCATCTTTACCACGTTCCCGGCCACTTCTCCACTTGAATCGTTGCTGCTTCTGCTTCCACATCTGCATATTCAATATCGACTGTTTTGCTTCAACTCCTGGGCGCCCTTTTATCTTCACTGCTTCTGCTCTTACATCTGCACTCTTATCTCTCCTGTTTAAGGTTCGACACCCGCACTGCCATCTCTACTGTTTCTGCTTCCACACCTACACTGCCATCTCCATCTTTCTGCTTCCACCTGCACTGCCATCTTTATACTGTTTGTTTCTGCTTCCAACCAGCACTTCCATTCTCTACAGTACGGCTTCTGCTTACCGAAACCTGCCATTCCATCTTTATTGTTTCTGCTCCCACACCTGTACTTCATCTCTACTGCTGCTGCTTACCCAAACTTGCACTTCCATCTCTACTGTTCTTGACCGCCATCTCTACTGTTTCTGATCTTACACGTGCATTACCGTCTCTGCTATTCTGCTCCCACAGTCCTGAACGTCCATGTCTACTGCTTCTGCTTCCACACCTCCAATTTTATGTCCACTGCCTCTGCTCCCACTCCTACACTTCCTTCTTCACTGTTTCTAAGTGCACTTCCATACTGTTTCTGCTTCCAAACCTGCACTCACGTATTTATATCTGCTGCTCCTAAGCCTGACCTTCAACCTTTATTGCTGCTACTCCTGCTCCTGTACTTCTATATCCACTTTTTCTGTTCCTACAATTCAACTTCCTTCTTAATACCACTTTTGTCACAACACTTATACTTTTTGTCTCTTCTGTGTTCACTTCTACACCTGCACTTTGTCTATATTGCTTCTGTGCCCAATACCTTAACCGCTTCTGCACTGTAATCTCTACTAGTCTGCATCGGTGCCTACACATTCATCTTTACTGCATCTGCACCTTCATCGCTATTCTTTGTATTGTACCTTAAATTCATTCATCTCTTTTTCATTTTCATCTGCTTACAACCTCCTACTTCCGCATCGACATTTTCATTTCCATCTTCACCTCATAGGCTTCATTAATGTTATTATCCTGTAAGACAGTGCTTCTCATAATTTCAACCAAAATCTAGGTCTCAATAACGTTTCGGTTGTCTCTTTTGTGTGCGTCAATAACTCGCGTACATGTACTTCATGCATATTATTCAAAGGGCAGAATTTAGAAAGTTTATTTAAAAGACAATCTGTTGTGGAAAAACGAGTTATTTCAGTTTACAACGTCTGATTACAACTTAAGAAGTACGAATGTGTTAGTCTTGCCACAACCCAAAACAACTACATATAGATATGCCGCAGCGAGAATTGGAACTCGCTTCCTGATTCTTTCAGGAAAACCACTTGTCCGGTCATTTGTCCGGTGTCGAAAATATCACAAGTCTTGATGAAATCGCGCCGCCTAGTTTCACATCGCGGTAGGTTTACTTTGTGGCACAACGGCCGCCGACCTACTACACAACTCGGAAGATTTACTTTGCGTGGCACAACGGCCGCCGAGCTAAAAAAAACCCGGTTTCACTGATGCATGCACCAGCGGTCGGACACATTTTCAAAAGACAACTTTGGAAGATTCAATGAACATAGATCGATAGTAGACCGCCAGGAAACTCTTGTAATATTATCTCAATGGGTTAAGCGATTTAGAGTTGCAAACCCTTTTCAGGCCGTAGTTCTGGATTTTGCCTGATACTTCAATGTCACATAGTAGCCTGTCATCACTCTACAATGCCTTAGAGCACATGCAAAGAACATAAGGATGCTTATACGGAGAAAAGTCCATTTTTTACCAAATGAGCTCGCCGACACAGAACATTGATGTATGAGAGAATCGTGAGAGACATTTCACTGATCTTTAACGAATTTAGAGTTGCTCTGTTGTGATTTCTGTGAAATTTATGCCTGGATTTTTGAAACCGGGTTAGCAAAAATCTGACGCCGGGCAGTAAGTTTATGGTCCCCAGAAGCATTCCAACGAGTCCAAATGTAAAATGACGCAAATTTTAGAACATTTATTCAGTAATCTGTCTTTGGGAAGTTTCAAACTGGTGTCATTTCAGTCTAGAAATTTTTAAGTTGAGTGAACTGCAGCGAAAGAGTGCCTGGTTAAGGCTTACATAACAACTGAAATAGTTAGCACAACACAATAATGCACAGAACACCCAACACAAATTAGGGATTGCATTCTCTTACCTAGAATGCAAATAGGAATTGAAATTTCGGATCATAATCTAGAGGAAAGTTGTAAGAATGCAAATTGGTAAGGGCTTCCCTGGGTCTGCGCTACACTAACGCAAATACAAAGTACACTCCATTATAGCAAAGCCTATTATGGGCAAATGGTAATAGTTGGACCTTTTTTCATTTTATTTACAGGGACACGAGCCCCCGGAAGCACAGATATTCCGAAGGACAAAGATGACAAAGCTAAAGGTGGTAACAAAAGTGGAATGTCTGCTGGTGTTATTGCTGGCATTGTTTTGGGGGTAATTGCTTTCTTTGTTGTGATTATTATGATTGCGGTGAAATTATTCAAGAGGGAAAGAATCCCAAGGACCACTGCAAGGACTGAATGCATTGGACGCGGAGTTCTACCACCAGGCACCTAGTTCAGTAGTGCATAGCCCGCCACCTCAGCCCTACAAGGCTCCTTACGCCCCTGAACATGGTACCTCTATGCAGCTGACGGGCATACCACTACGTTACGAGTCGCGTCCACAAAGTTATGGTGAAATTCAGCCCAGTGCACCTCCCTACAATCCTTACTACAAAGAAATTTTTAGATTCAAATAAATCAGGCATCAGGATTTTGAGTAAGCCTAAAACTGATTAGAAGCACCCGATTAAGCCGGCCAAACCTGCATCTGTATTAATGCTCCATAATTGTGAGACCAAATTTGATTGAATATCCTTTTTAAATGCCTGCATAATCTAGGAGGCGGAAAAACCATTACTATTATTGATAACCTTTAAGACTATAGATATTTACATCTTTCAACAAGGCATGGTAGTCCAAGAGATAAATGAAAAGATCGGGAAAACAAAAGCAATAAAATTTTATGCAACATGCTCAACTCATTCTTAGCTGTGAGGGTTGAGCAGGAAAGGCGTAGTTTCTTGGTTGGTTGGCCATAGCTCACCTCTCTGATCAATTCATGTGACTAAGGTGTAGGTTCTATCGTTGAGGACCCATTAATTATATATGCAAAGTGAGTTTGTAGTTAGTTCTTTTCCCTCTGTTACGTTCGATGTCGCAACTCCTGCGCTAACTTAGGGTTTTAAGAGTACGCAAACCTACATTTTTTCAACAGTTTACTTTTCATTGTTAGCTGTACTTAACTGAATTATTTGTTCCGTTTCTTTTTTTTTTTTGCGTTAACTGATGCTTAAAGGCTTAAACCTTTGTACTGTCATGATTCATAAATGAGAGCATTGTTTAATTATTTGTTGTTTACCATTCGATGTAAGAGAATTTTCTGGGAATCAAAAACCATACCAAAGGTTCAGTATAGTTCTTTCGTGGTGTATATTATCCAATGACTAACCAAATTATCCGCAAATATATTTTCCAAGAATATGCGCGGATGACACCTACAAAACCTTTTAGTGTCCCCCCAGTTCAGATAATGCGATAATACCCCAGAAAACTGCTTCTTTCAAACTCCCCAGCGAACATCACGTGGTCTGAAAGCAGACGGGGTGGGAAGGGGGTTGAATTGGTTTGAAAATGTTTGACTTGACGTCTACTGCGACCTCGTTTGGGACAGTTTACCAACGATCTTAGCCCCAAAACTTCAAAAGTTTCATTTTCGAGCAGCGTGGTTTTTAACTTAGTGAAACACTAATGTTAGCTCAGATCTGAGAACACGGATACAGTCTTAGTTGCATGAAACTCGTTAAAAGCCAAGGCACAAAGAGCTGATAATTTACAAAATGATGAACAACGACGAATCCATGCAATTGCCTGTAAAGCCTTTCAGTAAAACCAACTCAGAGTACCAGATACAGTCTTCGTTGTGCATGCTATAAATGACACCAATCTCTTTCTTTGAAGTGCTCGAGTGTTTAAATAGAGTCTTTGGATAAAATGGTGCACGCTATGGAATGAATCTTTGAAAAATGCGCTAAAAGTATTTTCTTTTAAGCGAGAGCTAACGTATGCCGAGTAGGGCTTGACCAGTCCTATCTTCGTTGTGATGTGATACAATTTCAAAAGGTTAGTGGGAGGAAGGCCAAGGGTAAGTGAAACTCACTCACTCGATTGGTCAAAACAAAGTCGTTCTAAAGCGGCTCATTTCTCAAAACAAAAAGCATCAACCATTCTAGGTTCTCTCGCCTATTGATTTGTTTATTTATTTTCACTTTAGGTCTCTACGTGATACTTTACTCCTTAATAAATATAATCTAACAATTTTAGTTGTGTTACCATATAACACATGTCAGGTCAAAGGCAGTTTTTGTGCGCTACACTGCTGAAAGTATCCGCAATGGCAAATGCGAAAGTCCACTTCGTCTTTGTCAGACTATAAATATATAACAATTATTCACCGAAGTGGAGGTGGCTAGTGGTGGTTTACCGATTGACCGTCAGCGGCGAGGATAATAACCACCACTAGCCACCGACACCAAGGTGAATAATTGTTTTAGTATATACTAAAACAGTGAGATAATTGAGCATAAAAATGATGATTTTTAATCATTTACTGTTGCCTGCAACGATTACAATTTTGGCGGGCAATGACCAAACAGCCGCAGTCGTCGCTATTTCTTGCCGACAAATAAAACGTTTGAAGGCATTTGTTTAGCTCCTGCGGGATAATTTCCTCAAAAAGAGTTAAGAATTCTTTTTGTATTTAAAATCATTGTGTAAAAAAAGATTATTAAATTTAGTTTTAAGCTTATTTATAAACAAGTCAACTAAATAAAGTTGCAAATGCAAATTAAGCTCAAGTCTTGCGAAAACAAAAAACTTTTTCGCCAGTTTTATCGATAAATTCAAGTCAAAAAGACAAAGTTTTATCTGTTTAAACTCCCACCCGTCACCTTCTTCGTGTATTTCGGGAACAGCTCGCTTGATTAGTTGTGAAATTTCTTTGTTTGTTACTGCAGCAAACCGGGAAGGCATAAGGCGAATTTGGCGTCGCTCGCTCGGAGGAACTGGAGATGAGTCAGTGAATAGTGCAGGATATTCACTGATTGAGTAGCCAATCAGAGCGAGAAGACTATGCACTGTTTTAGTATATACTAATCTAATGTGGTCAACATTTAGGCGAAATAAATAACTTTTATCATTTTTCAACGTCTTAAGGCCGCAAGATTTTTAGCTCAGGCAAGCTTGCAAGAGGCTTCGACTTGTTCTGCTCATTTATAAAGTCCATAAGCACTTATTATCATATTCAATCACAGCTTAAAACCAAGTAAGTAGATTGCAAGCGTTATATATGGAAAAGTTTTCGGATTTTTTGTCAGGTGAACTCTCGATCACAAAGAGCCAATAATGTCATTTGCATGTCTTGGAAAAGGTTTATTTATGTGCTGCAACTATTTCAGCGAATCAATGGCTGGCTTCCGTCCGTAGTGCTGAATTTTCCTTGTCGCTCACTCGAGATCAAACTTATTTGAAGCAACACATTTTAAGTAACCATGTTCATCAAAGCACTCAGAGGTATCACTTGTATGTGTTGATAGGCCACTGATAGGCCTCTGTGGTAACGTCAACGGTGACATATATACATCAGCGTCTTTTCTTGGCTCAGGAAGAGGAGGAGGTAGATTGTCATATGGTGACCAGTTGGTTTTAAGCTTCTGGTCTGAGGATGTAAAAGTCTCCTCGTACAGTGGATTCTTTGTTGTCAATGTTGGATGTTCAGGAGATGACCTGTTTTTAAAAGACGAGCTTTGATTTTCAGGGACTTCAGATGGCTCATTGTCATGGAGCTGTGGTGAATAGTTACCATCTTCTTTCTTGGTCTCATCGCTTTCGAGCGCATGTGGTATAACTCTTGAAGTAGGCGACTGAGGGTGGCAAGCAGCTGGAAGGTTACTCGCGGTTATTTCCTTTATCTGAGACAACTGTCCGCCTGTGATGATAAAAGGGTGTTTCTTTTTTCTATCAGAAGAAGGCGGTAGGCTTTTGGTTGGAGGCCTGACAGGAGCAATCATTGATGGCTTGTTTCTCGATCGATCCCGTATTTCATTATAAGGTGATGGCCACTCTAATGAGATGACAGAACCTTCTCGAGACCGATCTAGAGAATCGGGATCTTCATAGTTAACATGTGGAACAAACTCAGCCGGAAAAATGGGAAGAGGTGCAGGAGGGCGTTTTTCAACATTGGGAGCATTATTTGTCTCTCTGTCCATAGATGGTCTTCTAGAGAAACGGAAACGCCTTCTGACCTGTAAAAAGAAAAAAGAGAGAGTGAGAGAGGGTACTGAGTTAAATAACCTTTTTTTTTCAAAAGCGAATGGACAATTAATTCGGGTAATTACATGAAGACGTAATGAGGCAGCTCGCGCCGTTGAGGTATTTTAAAAATTTAACAGACAGAACAGTGATGGGAAGTTAGTTTCTACAGATCCAAAACAAAAGAATTAGTGCTTTTAATATCACAAACATAACAAGCTTTGTTATTTCCCTCATTACAATAAACTGGTTCAGGTTTATTGTTTAAGAAAGTCGTGATTTACAGAGAGCTTAATGCTGCTATTGTGGTTATAAACTCAGTCTTGCATTTTCGAGAAAGACTTAATAAATTACCAGTCTCAGAAAGGTTGACTTTAGCAAAAATTACAAAAGTGTATTCTACAAAGCATGAAGCTCTTGTTATCAACAGAAATCTATAGAAAAACTAGGGAGGTGGTAAATGAGCTTAATTTTCTACCACAACAGTAGGCACTCAATTTGTGTCCGAAACCAAAGAAGTTTTGTAAAACACCGCCAAAAAACACAAACACAAAACAAACGAACACAAACGCTCACATTTGTCAATTAGAAGTCATGGTGGTATATCTGACTGGTTGTCTCCCAGATAATCTATAAGGCCAGAGCGATCCAAGGGACTGTATTAAAAATACATTTGATATTTTGTTGTGTTGTCGCTGAATATCACGAATGACAATAGGCTATGGTCTCACAACCATCCAAAAATATATATTACTATAATTTGCACTATATCAAGTGATACAGCTAAATAATTCTGCGATCACCAAGGCAACTTACTAAAGCTAACAAGCTAAAGGAGGACTAGGTGAGTTAAAGAATTTTCGACCCGGTCAATAGTAAGCAATAAGTGGAGTAAGAAGGAAATTTCTTTGACGGCAGAATGTGAAGCATTTCCAGTGAAATATAATTTTCACTTATTCAATTATTTATCCCTACTTTTACTTGAAATCAATGCCGACACTCAAACTTTGAATGCTTACCATAACAGAAATTGCTGCTACGAGGACCACACCAGCCACACATACACTAGTGATAATTCCAGCCAAGGCACCAATAGATAGCCTGCTAAACCTGTCTCCACTTTTAACTAAAGACTCCGCAGTTGACTTGATGGGAGCGACACAGAGTGGCAGACTTTGGGCTGTGAAAGAATAGTTAATGAAACGTGATTATTTTTCGAGAATGTAAAAGAACTACGAGAGAATGTTCATTCATCTAGCTCACACTTGTTTATCATTTTCGTTATTATTACCTTTATGGTTGCTATTATTATCATCATTATATTATTTATTCAAAATTAACATTTCGCACTTTCTGATTGGCTCCAATCCCCGGCTTATTCTTCATAACCATCCGGAGCCGACAAAATTTGGAAGATGCGAGCACTATACCATCGCTTACATGATATTTGATTAGAAACGGGATTGATAGATGATGGATAATAGACCATCGATCAACCTCTTTTCCAGTTGCAGCGGCCTAGCTGTTTATTCACGAGTGAACTAAAAAATGGCTTTCCAACAATCCGAAAACGAAATAGCTGAATTTCTGACTAAAACGGAACGGAAGGAGAGCAAGAATACGCAAAATATATTGCTCGATAGATGATATCGACTTTTTGAGGAGTATCTGAGAGAAAAAAAACCTGTATGTGAATTTATACCCTGAAACTGTGCCGAGACCAGAGTTTAGAAGAAAGTAGAAGTAAGAGGACATAAGCCTTTTAAGAACTTAAAAATATTAAAAAAAAAAAATTGAATTCGGCTTTCGTGATTGAAAGATAATGCAGATCGAGGAGGATGTTATCAACCTCGGCCTTTAGAATCGGTAGAAAACATCCTCCTCAATCTGCATAATTGTTCACCTCCTACTCAGCCTCATTCAATAATTGCTAATAATCATTACTTGCAAATTCATGAACTCCAAAGACGTGGAAAGACTTAATGTAGAAGCTATTTTCAATTTAGATATCAAACCAAAACGTTGATTGATAGGCAATGAATTGTCAAACCTTCTTTTCCTCTGAAGCATGCTTCAGCAGTTGCGCAGTAAGATTTCTTTAACGGGACGCTGTCTTTATTGTACACACACCAGTAACAGCTGACTATTCCCTCGCACGTCTGAGAGCTGTTTCTCTCACTGCAGCGAGGATCAAAGCATTTCTCTAATGATGCTTTAGGATCATGACATTTCTTCCCGGAGTCAGGTGGGGTGGGGATGTTTGGTAACTGCAACAAAGGGGCTGAAGGCGGGCATATTGGAAGACTGAAAACCATAAGATACAAATGGGCGGTTGTTAGTGTCATTACTAATAACGGATGTGCACGAAAATCCATGCGTCAAACGTGGTAAGAGGGATAGCGTAGGAAGACTGTATTTTTTTTGCAAAAAGTGACTCATGCGGTTTGGACTTCGGATAAGCCCTACATGCTTCTCCGCTCTTGGAGACCTACATGCATTTAAATGTTACAGGTCATTCATTCAAAATGGTGGCCACTTTGGATTTTATTTTTTAAAAAAGCTCAGATAAATGCAAAAAGTCAAGAGACGAAGCGTTTTTCATGCTTAATGTTAATGTTCTTTGAACAGCTAAAAATAATGACAGTAAATTATTGACTGATCTGAGTGCGGCACTGCTGTCAAAACTGACCTGCTGTTTGGAAACTGACTTCGGCAATAGTTAAATTCTAGCTCAGAGGTACACGGACATTCACACTTTGTGGACGAACGAAAACACTTGTTATCTGAAGAACAGGTACATGATTCGGCAGCACACAAAGAATCCCTCAAAGTAACTCCTGTGGAAAGATAAAGCAGACATATAGGTAATACCAAGGTAACACTTCAGGCGATAAGAACCACTCTGCAAACTCTTTCCATACTAATGATTTAGATAACTTGTTTTCAAAATTTTTCTCTACTCTCGCTTCAGACAGATGTACTTCTATCCTAGGAATGATCGTAAAACGAGAAACTTGTCTCTTTTTACTCAAAGAGCACAGCTCCACCTGCGAAATTTTGCCATGACGTTTTTCTTTGTTTTATTTTATTAAGTGAGGTTTATGGGCAAATACGTCATGAATGAAATAGTTCGTGTATTCATCTGAAAAACGTTATAGTTCTGTTAATAAATACATAGTTGGTGTTCATTTTAACAAAAAGTGAGCCTTTTTCAACGTGAATTAGTTAGATTATATTGACAAAAGGCGCCGATAGTGACAGCAGTTTCAGTTTCATGCACTTAAAATTTTTAAACATTTAGTAGTAAAACAGGGTATTGGAAATGATTAAAGTTTGTATAGTGTAAGTAGCAACCTAACCTTGGAAGTACTTTGCTTATCTTATCTTATCTTATCTTATCTTATCTTATCTGCAAAATTCTGTGGTTCACCCGTGATAGGTTGAAGCAGACAACAACTATATGCGTACACGTAAACGTCATTTACAAACCTAAATAAGCATTAGTGCCAACAATCTTGTTGAGTTGGTATTTACTGCAGCTGGCTCCACTCTTCAGGACGTCGACTCCCCCATCCGGCAAATCAACTTCATAAAAACTCTGCTTTTGGATTTCCTTAAGGTTGCGGCATTCTCGTTTTTTCAAGTAGCCATTTGTAATGAGATGTTCCGCAATATTCTTTTCTTTATTAGTAATGTGAACATATTCCAAGTCGTGGGCCTTTTCGGAATGTGCTAGAAAGTCTTCGTGCATGATAAGGAATCCAGCGCTATCCATAACGAAGCAGGAATATATATTTCTTTCTCTACACTTTGGATACACTTCGGTGAGTAACCTAAAATTTTAGTTCAAATGAAAATAATCAATAGTTTGTGAATATCACTCACTTTATATATTAATGAAGACTGAAGAAGAAGGAGAAGACAAAGCACTGACAAAGCAGGAGGAGGAGGAGGAACAAGATAGAAGAATCTTAATGCAATAATGAAAGAATCAAACCATCTCTGAAGGTGGCAATTTCTACCATTTTAATAGTTCCCAAAAGCACTTTATGAGCCTAATCGCTCTTGACTGATTATTACTCTAGTTCGTTATCCTATTTTTTTAAATCAAAAAATTAAATTGTCTGTCGTCATTTTTATTCAGTTTAACGAAAACATTCCTGACAAAAGTCGGGAAAGTTTGAGTCAAATGCGCAAGCGTTGTTTTGAGCTAACCTGTAGAAATACGTTAATGAGAAATCAGCTCCCATAACTCCAAAAACTTCGTCATTTGTGTGATGATGGTGACTTGACTCCCCACGATACAGTGAGCGGGCGACAGTTATAACCACTCCAGCACCTCTACCATTAGGTTGGCCAGCGTGCAAATATGGGGTAGTGAGAGTGACTAGACCAGTGTTACCCAAAGCAGAATAATACCTATTGAAAGTGAACCAAATAATTTTACACTTCAAGTGACTATAGTTTGTGGAACATATTCTGTGCTTAAATTTATTTTGTTTCAAATTCATTATCATACAGATCACACGCAAAAACAAACGAAAAAAAAAATCAGGTTCAAGGGCCATTAAGGTTCAAGACGAAGGATACCCTTCGAAAATTTGAATTAGGTGTTAATATTCAACGTTTTTGTTGTTGTTGTTGTTGTTTGTTTTGTTTTTGTTTGTTTGCCTATCTGACTTTGAGTTCTCACTTACCAGGGTCTTTGTCTGGGATCGTAACTTTTCTGAGCTACAGCACCAGGCATCAGCCTGAAAACCCCATCTGCTGTTCCGATGTATCTCCACGCCAAATATTGTGTCAGCTCAGTCTTTTCACGCAACCAAATGTCTTCCACTTTCCAGGTAGCGGTCACTGTGTCCCTTATTCCCGGTTTCAGACCAGGACTTTCGATCGTCCCGGTTTCGTCAGTCATGTAAGCATTGAGTAACTGCAAATCTGCCCTGCTCTCTCTTTTACCAATGTATTCAAAAGTGTCTTTGAAAGCTCCCGGCGCAAATTTTACAACCGAGGTATCTTTAAGTGAAAAACCAGAATTTATCAAAATATATAGCTAGTTAAAAAAAACATGCAGAAATATATAAAAAAACGCTTATTACTTCCTGTAAGGATGTGCGTGTGTGTTAGGGTATAGCCTGCGTAGCAGGCGGTACACACGAAGGGGAGAGGAGGTGCATGCAGCGAAGGCCCTAGTTTTCCGTTTTCTACGTTATCTGACGGTGCGTAGAATGCCATTGGCCAAGTACGCCTCTTAGTCTGTCATGTCAATGCATTATTTGAAATATCAGTCAACTAAAATCAAGTCTCGTAAACAAATCACACGGCTATGCAAGAAGTTTTTTAAAGCTCTTAGCTCGAAGAGATTTACGATTTTGGGTTTCATTGCGCCGTCTTTTTTAGGTAAAGATCTCTTAGCAATATTACCAGCTGGATTCGGAGAGCGAATAGCGAAACCGTACTTTGCAAGCCTTGTCGTTACTTTCCCGTTGCAAAGCATAATTCAGGATCAGGTAGCCGAGGTATCTTTATGGGAATGTCAGTAGGTGACTTGAAAGAAAAACTGGACTGTTTGAAAGAAATACAGCAAGAAAAGCATAAAGCGGCCGCGATGAATTTCATTAAAATCGTTATCATTTTCAACACGAATATAGCAGCGTCTGTTGTTGACAAAAGCCTGGACGGGACGGCTTAGGCAAGCCTGTTCGTCGTGTAGCTTTACCCGATCGCGAGTTTAAAATTGAATCGTTTCATGTGCTTTATGCAGATATAACCAAAATACATACTCAAGTGTATATTTTCCTTTGCGGTCTGATGTCGGTTTCATGTCTTTTAGTCCATCAGCTGAGAGCCGTAAATTTGGGTTTATGGCTCACATATTAATCGTTCGCTATTAAGCATGACAAAAATGCATGATAGCAAGGATAAAACGGTAGCTTTCTTTTTGAAAATCGAAATTTAAATTTGCCCCTCATAATCTCCTTTTGGCAGCCATCTTGAATTTCGGGGAAGGCTGAAAAGTTGCGGATATTCTTTTAACGTAAACAAACCTTGTTTTAGCGTAGATTTAAAACATATTTGAGCTAAAAACATGACTTTCGGTTATTCTAGTGCTTAAACTATAACTAGCTGACGTCCTACGTGAATCAATATCGCCCGTTATTGGTCACTCATAAGACTGGCAGTTTGCAATTTGTTTAATAACTGGAAAAAAAATGTAAGGTTTAGAAAATTGTTTCAGAAAAGAGTAAGTAAACAAATCATATTTTTACATTGCAAGTGTATTGAATAGAGTCTCTTTTTGAAAACAATATCTTAATGGAGAACCTTATCCAGCTACGCGTCCATGACCGGAATCAGTTTCAGAGGTTTCAACTGAATGTGAATTCCCCGCGTGTCTCATCAAAATCAATGTAATGGCTGACCTAAGTTCACCAACGACAGAGATTTGCAACTCGCTAAGCGTCTATACAGAGGTGAGTGATGACTGACTGCCCTCCACGGCAAGAGAACGCAGCCAGCGAATGACTTTGTAATGAGCAGCTTTCTTTGATTCAGTGAGGACTGTGCATAAGGTTCGCAACAAGGATCTAGTACTTCCTCTTGTGCTTGGATGGCACTTCTGGGACAGTTCCGGCAAGCGAAAAACATAACCGGCAGTTTCGATGAAACGCCAAGGTACAGACGTTGTAAATCCCCTCTGGAGCTATGTTCCATGTGGTCGCTTAGAGTAACTAACTTCGCGCAGCACGCGCGTAGACGTAGTGGTTGACGTGTAGCGCGAAGTGTTGATCAACAATGTCAAAAGACTGAGAATAACGTCTACCGCTGACAGTGTACAATTGGGGATTTACTGCGATGCACTATGCTGTAAAGTCATGGAACGAGCTACTAAGTGCTAACACAAATAACCTGAAATCGTCAAATTCCCTGTGCCACGGGGCAAAACCGAAGCATTTAGAAGCAGATTTGGCAACTGGATCATGCAGGGGTACTCCCCGTGTGACAACCGAAGACCAGTCGGGCGACTAGACGCAGACACATGGTGATCAGAGACGCTGACTCGCTACGAGATTCATCCCGAGCTTAAGGCTGGAAGGTCAAGCTGGAGAATCTGCCGCCATGCGAGTCATCGAACCATCGTTCTGCAACCCTCGTTGGCACGTTACCGCAGAGAAGTTGCAACTCATGCGTATGAACCTTTCTTCAGCTTATGATGTTAGGGCAGAAAATGCAGTACATGTGAATCTATGTTTACGTTAAATTTTTCCAAACGCGAATTTCAGCATTGAAGAATGGTGCTATGCGAACGATCGTGTTTTTAAATTAAGAGGGAATAAAAAGTTTGTTTATAAATCCAAGATGGCGACCAAAATAAGGGTTAAAGTGGCAAATTTAAAATTCGATTTACAAAGTGAATCTAAACTTTGCTATCAAAAAGAGATTTAGATTATACATGTTGTGTTTGTTCCCCTAAGTGAGCCATACAACCCCCTCAAAGATCTCATTTCATTCGTCATTGATGCAAGTCTCAACCAGCATCACGCGTCCAACTGTTAGAGCAGGCACAAATTTGGCAAGTAGTCTTCAGCAATGTAACAACAATTATTTTCTAAACAAAAATGTAAAATTTCATTAGCGTGACGCCAACTGTCAGAACAATTGACGCCCAACAATTGATCACCTGAAAGTAAAACCATATGGATGGAAAACTCTTCCAGTGTTTTCCTGTAACCTAAAGAACGCTCCTTTCTTTCCGAAAGTAAATGGTTGGGTTTTTGTCCCTGAAAATCCTTGGCAAGTCCTCGATGCTAGTTGAAACGCCAGACGAGGGTAGAATGCAATCGATGAAAACATCAGCGTTTTTTTTTTTCTTTTTACTTAGAGCTTAGAGGTTTTATTGACGAGAGTTTAGACGCTTCTCGTGCATATTATGACTTAAGATTAGTACCTTTTGTTCCGTTAACTCCAAAATGACTGCAAGGTTTTTCAAAGGACTGAAGATCGATCCGGTGATACTGAAACTTGTAACCTTTGGGATTAAATGATAAAAAGTGACAGGTTTAAAGTTGTCTTAACAATTGCGGCAGTGAATGCTGACTTGCCTTTTCATTATGGGACCGGACAACGTTGCATGTTAGTTGTGAAGAATTATCATCCAAACATGACCTATTTCGAAGCCTAGGCGGACGGGAAATTGGAAAGTCTCATTGTGCAAAAAATGTTTATGCACGTTGTAATGAATACTATACTTAAAATGAAATTTCGAGATTCTATGGCTCGAAAGGTTGACCACTTTAAAACCTTCATAGACCAACTATACAAAAACACCAAAAAGGACTTTCAGCAAAGGTTTCCTTAATCAAGCCAATATTTTCCCTAATTAGTCTTTGAAAAAGGCTTTCAGAGTCGTCTAATCAATTTAAGACATTGATATTTCATCTTGAGCCACAGTCCAAGAGGAATATTTTAGGGCATTTCTTTCTTGCCATGTATCCCACAAAATCGGTGAAAATTCCAACCAATTTTCGTCTTTTCAGTTAAAAAAAAAGCCTTATATACGTTAACCGTTACACATTTGATGGGACTACTTGGTAAATCGCCAATTAGCAACAATGTACACACTCCCCACGTTTGCATGGTTGAGGGCACGGACGCGCCGCCACAATCAAACACTTCTTTGAAAGCTAGATATATCCTATAATCGGTGACAAAATTAGTTGAGACACTTCGCCCGAAAGGGGTTTTCTACCGTTTTACTGACATAAAAAGGGGAAATAAAGTTTTTCCTGCCCCATTCCCTCTATGGAATATTGTGCCGCTGTTCGAGCTACCTATAGAAAACAATTGAATGGGGGGGGAGGGGAGAGTGGAGGAGTGTGGACTGTTTTACTCTCTGAAGTTACCCTATTTGAGTACAATATCTCAACAATTTTGTCACCGACGTGCTTGTTTCGGTCATGTCACTTGGACATTTGCTAAATGATCCCCCAGAGTCAAAAGTATAAAACTGCGTGCAAGGATCGATCTATCGCGTAAGATAATAAAGGATTCGCACTGGTCCCATGGAGTACAGTCAAATCTCTTCAAGCGGAAACCACCCTACAATGATTTTTTTTCCCAAGATACCAAAGTCCTTTTCACCTCTATAATCCGTTGTAACGAGTTTTGAGCGCAATGATAAATTACACTGTAATTCGTGACCTAACTCTTTCGAACAAACTAACCATTAGGAATTGTGAAAGCCTTGAGTTTCTCCTTCGCATAAGCTACTGGTACAACTACACCAAGGGTAAACTCAGTGCCATCTATCTGGGTCCAACTGTACGTGGAATTTACTTTTCTCTCTTCCACTCCTTCCCTGACGTCCCCTCCTCGTGGCAAAAAGCGTTTGGCAACAAAGGTCTTGGAACCAGACCTACCGCTAAAAGAAATTAAAGGGTACACTCCGTCTATTGAAATATAAATGTTAGGAATCTCTATAATCCTTAACATGATGCAGTGAACTTCTTAACTTCTCTCAGAAAGGCTGACTTCTTGTATATGGTTCAATTTTCAACGGTGTTCATTTCACTCGGAATTTCATAACTTGCTTTTTTTTTCGGCTTCCTAAGTATCCTTTTATGCACAGATCAATTTGTTACGGCTCAGCCACGAGCTACAAAACAGCGCCGAGCTTCACAGTTTTCCAAAAGACGTTTGCGTCGATAGAAGAAAGCAAGAAAAGTATTACAAAACCAATTCCTTGGAAAAACAATAAAGAAAAGAGCAATTGAAAGTAAAGAGCCGTGAATGAAAATTTGGCTAAAGTTCCATTAACGGGTCCTTAGTCTAATGATGCAAAAACAAAAACGGTAAAACAATTTTGTTTTCAAAACGTTTTAGTCCCTGAGAAAGATATTCAGAGCAATACTTTAACTTTCTCTGCTGGCTTTTATAACTGTTTGCAAATAAGATTGCGTCCGGCTAAATCTGTAAATGTAATCTTTTATTACCCCCCACCCCTTCCCCCTTCCCCCAACTCCTCTTTAAAAAAAAACAAAAAAACAAAAATAATAGTCTCCATACGTTTTCATTGAGATAAACACATCGTTGAACTCTGCTTCTGGCTCTAATGTACGTATATCCAAATACACAGGGTCTCCATAGGCGTCGGTTGGTGCTGGGAGGAGAGGATGAACAATGGTTCTTCCTGATTTACTGGTCATAAAAGCGTACGCAATCTGTCCTTCCTTTAATAATTCGATATCAGAAACCAAGTCCTCGATGTTGATGTCAGTCCCTGCTACGCCAATGAACTTCCCTTTATGGTAACAAGGAAGGGTTATTGACATTAAAAGTCCTGTAAGAAAAAAAAAATTATCGATTCATAAGTGAATGAAATAGCTCAAAGTAAAAACTTGGTTTGTTGATTTCATTAATTTTTTACCAAAATATCATAGAGACCTTACGGCTACGACCATAATTAGAGGAGAAGACTGGTTATTAAAGGCGGCAAACATCAAAGATAAAAACGCTGCTGTAGTTTACGATGGGATCTCCCTGACAGGGTACAATCTTTCGTTTTAATTTCACATAAATTGTCACTGAATAAATTGATGTTAAGTATTTATAATGGTCAATAATGTCAAAATGTTTGGAAATTTATTGAACTTAGTGCACCGTCAAACGTCTAAAAGGTGAAAAAACAAACAAACAAACAAACAGCAACAACAACAAATTTAACAAAGAACTCTGACGGGTTTTATACCGACACTACATGCTACGACAGAAGGTGACCATACACTACAGTAAAAGCGTTCTGCCGAACTTTAAGTGCCACTTATAACGTTCCCATCACCGTCACATGACATTACGTCATATTGTAGGTAACGTATATTTTAATTTAAGGGAGTAACAGAGAACCTCACGATCTGCCTATAAATGGGCTGTTTAATGGGCTGTTTAAGTCGTTTTAGAAAACAAACAACTTTCTAGTATTCCCAACATGCTTTGTGCGCGGGTGTCGTTTTGGACGGAAGGCTTTCAAAAGAGTGTGAAGATTCGGGCTATGAGTACACCACATGTGTAGCGGTACCAGTATTTCCTTACATCAATGCAAATCGTGAATTCAAAGAACACCAATTATCGTTTTGCATCAAAAAACTTCCTCCTATACTAATGTATCGACGGTTGTCTTTGGACACATAATCATCCCAAAGAGCCAAATAGCTGATTTTGCATTTATTAATCATGTGACCCAGTGAATCCTGATCAAAGTTATCGTTCACAACTTAAATTGGCAATAAATGAATGAGGAAATTTCCCCATTTTTTCTCGAGAATCTGTAGCTGTTTACTTGCCAACAAAGTGACTGAATCTGAGCGCAATGAAAAAACAACCAACCAGCCAAACAAACAAACAAAAGCTAACCTGTTCCAAAAGCATCGACATATGGAACAGAAACCACTGGTCGATCAAGTTCCTTTCCGGTAGCGAAGAAGTTATAATACGAGCCCATTTTGCTTCTGAGGGTTTTGATGTCTTCTACAGCTATGTATTTTCCCTTCTAAAGTGAGATAACAAGTAAGTTAAGTTGTGTTTCCTTACTTGACAATCATTCAGGCCAATTCCTAGAAAAAAATGGCCTCCATGAATGTAAAGTTATATAATTATTCATTCAAAATATTTCCCCAATTCTGATTGGCTAAAAGCACACGCATAATTCACCTTACCGAGTTACTGATGACCAAATTTGGAAGAATTTTGTGTTTAACGAGGAAATGACGTCAAAAATGCTGCCCGCTACAGGTTAAGGCACCGTTAACCGAGAAGACCTGGGGACGAGGTTGAGTTGTTTTGGTTGTGAAAACAAAAGATGGCGGATACTTCACTCGTTTCAAGAGTAAGAACTGCAGCTGGAAGTAGGCGAAATAATAGCTAAAAACATAGCAAAAACAGCAGGAAGACAACTCGGAGGGCGACATCTGCTATTTGGAGAATATTTGCAGAGCTGGAAAAAGCTAGACGTACGCTATCGAAGATGAACTTAACATCGATGCAGGTAAGCATGTTTTAGCTATGTTTTTAAACTAGAGATTATTTTGAATGAATAATCTCCTCGATTTGCTTAATTCTTCATATCCTACGAAAGCCGAGTTCATTAATTGCTAATTATTGCAGCAGTGATTCCCGTCTTTTAATTTGAAAGATTTTCCCTAGTGCACTGTAATCAAGTCCTCAGAAGGACACTGTCTTAATATTAAACTTCCTTGAAAGATAGCAGAACCTAAGTGAGAAGCCATAACCACGCGCAGATATTTACTTTGATAGGCTGATATCGTGAGAGTAACTAACCGTCTTCGTTGCACGTTTCATTTCTACCATCATGTTCACTAACTGATGGAAAACTATATTTCAAGGGCATCCAATAACAAATCTATAAGTATTAGATTTCCTCGCTGCGTTCTTTCGTTGCCTGCTCCAACATGATCATTTCACGTTATATGAATATATTACTGTTTAATTGTTTGGTTTTCAGCAAATAAGCAGCGCCTACTACTTATGCTGCAAGTGATGAACATTTTTTGAAGCGTGACTTCTTTATGGACACAAAAATGTGCAGAATGATACTATCAACATGGACAATCTTACCGTTACGTCTCCAAATGAAGCATTTGACGGAACCTCATACTTTGCTGTGTTTTGCAGGGCGATATCTTGAAGAATGTTAATTGTTTCCTGATCTACACCACCGAATCCAAACGTTAATATGACCACAGAGTTGTTGAGCTCCAGATTCCTGTCTCTTATGGTTTGGAATATTGCTCTTTTTTCATCGGAGGGTGCTCCGTCTGTGAGAAACAGTATAACTTTACGCACCTGTTTATTCGTATTTTCAGATGCTGTCTCCTTCAGAAGCTGAAAAGCCTTTTCAAAAGCCAACCTGTAATTGGTTTTTCCTAAAAACGCAGAAGATGCCTCAGTTAAGTTTTTTAAATGATCATAGTGAGAAAAAAAAAACTTTCAGTTGAAGGAATCAATGCGTGTCATCCATATTGGTTTCCATAACATTGAATAACCTTAGTCTAGTTTCTTCTGTTTATGACGGGAGTTAATAGAGACATGAAGCACCGAGCATTTTTTCCCGCGAACGGAAAAGAGGGTCACGTGACATTACTTTCTACGCGTTTGCGTTTGCCAGCCGCCGTTTCAACTCAAGGAGGACATAAATACATAAAAAGAGAGATTAAGATTCAGGTTTACGCCAAACGGCAAATGTGAATTTGTACCACGTGACCAAGTTTTTCCTTTAATTGCCGTTAACAGCTATTACTATTCATTGAAAATATTTTCCTGATTGTGATTGGCTAAAAGCACTCGCATAATTCACCATAACCAGCTCCTGATGACCAAATTTGGAAGAATTTTGCGTTTAATGAACCGATGACGTCAAAAATGCAGCCTTCTTCCAGGTTAAGACGAGAAGACCTGGGGACAAGGTTGAGTTGTTTTGGTTTTTGAAACAAAAAAAGGCGGAAATTTCACTCGTTTCAAGAGTAATAACTAGGCGAAATTATAGCTAAAAACATGGCAAGAACAGAAAGAACACAACTCGAAGGGCGACATCTGCTCTTTGGATAATATTTGAGGAGCTGAACAACCCTAAACGTGAACTATCGAAGAGGAACTTAACATCGATGGAGGTAAGCATGTTTTAGCTTTGTTTTAAACCCAGGAATTATTTTGAATGGATAACACTTCGCTTATCATCCCTCTTTTACATGTACTGTTGCAAAGTTAAAAGAGTTTCAAATTCCAGCGAAAAAAAGATGAAAACTTTGATTCTCTGTACATTTTGTCCATTTACAGTGAAGTTAGTGAATGGCGACAGAGAAGACTTGCCTTGTATCATACGTATTTTACCGAGTTTAAGTTTAATTAAGAAATATGGAAACATTCAGTTAATATCTAGTTAATTTTCAAATATTTTAGACAAATTTTGAACATATTTGTGCATAGTTTGCAGTTCTGCGGCGTGTAAACAGGCAGCTTAAACAAACACACACTAGCTAATATGACGTACAGGTTCGTGACAGTTTCAGAGGAAAACATTTTAGCAATTACTGAAGCAGTTTGACCAAAATAGCCAGAAAGAGACTGAGTTTGGCTCGTCAGTGTTTGCTGATTAAAAGAAAATTATTTTCTTATTGAACTGGCAACAAAACTAGGGAAAATGCACCCGAAAATTTATCCTCCAAACACCGTCGAATAAAACGTAAACAAATCCTTTACTAAGTGGCGTCATTTATTACAAAAGTTACTTCCATTTTCATGTTAAACTGATTCGGTAAATACTTAAAACAACTATCTCCATCAGGGTCGGATCATAGGGCTAGATAGATACGTGGACGCTTCACGTCTTGGGATGTAATGCACCACTCATACTGGCCAGCTCGGCCATCGGGAGATAGTTGCACATACTATTCAATTAATCTTACCATAAGAAACAAGACCACCAACATAGCTTCTCAAACAGTCGATGTTTTCAGGAGTTGCAAGAGCTAACCGTTGATTATAGCACGTGGTTTTTCCACCATAGATTCCAGGGGTTGTGACTTTAGTGTTGAAGGATACAATTCCAACCTGTGATCACAAAATGTCATCAAATTAAAGGGCTGTTTTCGAAAATAATAATCTAGTTACAATGATAACATTGATCATGATATAATAAAAATAATAATGATAATATTAAGCTGTAGCTGGGGTCTCTTACAATCAAGGGTCTCTTATAAGTTGGACGTCTAGTCGTCGCTTCTGGTTGGTTTCGACTTTACAGACATTGCTGTTAGATTCTATTGCAAGTTACTAATTAAAAATAATATTGAGAATTTCAAACGAAACAAGGCTAAAATATGAAACGTAGATGGAGAACCCAAACCTAAGCTACGTCCCGCATACGTACTACAGGCCTTTTCCAGCTGGAAATGGCTGTGCTTCAGACGCACCTGGCGCAGGCCAGTCTTGGTCGAAATGTACAAAAGCATTTTTGCAAGGACTTTTTTCGCTTCAGGCTCGATAAATTGCTTTGTCGTCGTTGATGCTGGCGATAACAAAAACGTTTATATTTAGGGATAGTTTCAATCTTTTCGTAATTATCTAACTTTTTACTTACATGGTCCTTAGGATTCATTGTATCCAAAACTGTGTTTGCAGCTTCTCTGGCGATGACAAGTTTCTCTCCAATCATGGATGCACTTGTATCGATAATCAATACCACGTCCTTGGCTTCCGGAGAGGCGGTTTCTACGTAAAACGGTCTGTATCGAGGGTCGTATTTGGAACAATCGTTTTCGTTAAAGTAAACCGGAAAGGCAGTCAGCATACCCTCCTCTGAACCAAAGTACTGCCATTTGATGAAAGGATATGTTTTCGCAATGGCTTTCATTTCCAAAAGAACGCTTTCATCTAAGTGTACAGGGTTTGGCGAAGCAGTACTAGAAATCTGAGCACAAAAATTGTTCACGTCCACTAGAGAACGGAACCTCACGTCATACTTGAGTCCAGTTTTCTCGGCCTTGCAGCATTCCGTGGCTGGCTTTGGATTTGCAGCTCCATTGTACGAGTCTTCAACCGCTTTCTTCAGCCTTTGTGCTACTGCAAACCTCGTTTTGAGCTTGTCTGCAAGGTTTACAGCTAGAGATGGAAGAACGTCCTGCCCAGTTATGGTCTGCCTGTTGAACTGAAGTTTGTCCAGATATATCTAAAACAATAAGAAGAAATGCTTGTTGGCCCGACATTGTTGGGAGTTCTTGAATAGTCTTGGCAGTGCTCATAAAGGGGTTTTTAGGAAATTATGCAAAAGTTACGACCCATAAAATTCGACAGTGTAATGCGCGTGCGTGTCCCCAATATTTTTGGAACAACTATGAAAACTGATCCAACGTTGTTGCGCTACGCTTCGGCGATCAATGAACAAATAAATGACTAAGAGTATAACGCATAACAAAATAACAACGCGCTACGGCATAAAACTGAGGGTATGCAAGCGGACTTGTAATGCACCCAACAATGTTGTGTCCGTTTGCACAGAGCCAAGCATTTATATGAGTACGCAAATGTAATAAGTTCCTACTTCCGATTATATGACAAAAGAGTTGCATTTCTATATTTTTATGTCACCTGGTTATCTTTTTCCATTTTATTATTTAGCCTAACTGAATAAATAAAATCGATTTATTTCCACAGAGATTCACTACTTGGAAATAGGGACGGTGAATGGTGAAGGAAAGTCGTAAGTAAATTGGGAGCTCGATCTCATTAAAAATCCTTCCGATGTTTAAATGATAACTAACTTGAAAACGTAGGCATGCGTATTAAGAAAACAAATTATTTTTGGAATTTAGAGTGACTTGTCGTCTCTCTCGATAAATAAGCTTACTTTATTTTTCGCGCCCTTATTGCTCTTGACATATTCTGAAGGGTTTATAACAAGAAGCCAGCATTTTAAAAACACATTCAGTATTGGAAAACTCTAAGTATACGGCGTTTCAAGCCTTATTTAATAAACGCTAATGAATGGTACCGAGGGAAACAGTTAATATTGTTTCCCGAGAATCTGAATGTTTCCCTGGGCGGAACCGAGGAAAACATGGAGATTCGAAAGAAACAAAATTAACTGATTCCCCGAGGGACCATTCTTTAAGTGATTTGTTATATAACTGGAAATTTTGAAGCTGGGAATTCATAAAATCCCTCTCTAACGTCGGTCGTCAGTCAACATTTGCGGGTAACAGGGCACCGTTACCCCCTGACGTCATAGATTTTCCAATGTTGCCCGCTCAGAGATTTTGGCAAGAAACAGTCTCATTCGGTTAGATGTCATGTGAAAGAAAGAAAGATGGTAAATTTTAAGCTCGGTGAAGAAAATAGAAATGTTTTCATCAACATGTCACATGTACTTATAACACAGGAACTTATGATCTTCCATACACCGGTCGAATGCTTTAACCACTGAGCTGCGAAGGACTCGTGGCGTTCTAGGCCATATACAATTTCTTAACCCACATTATTTTTCTAACAGTTCATACACTTCTTAGTTTCATGCTGTTAACACATTAGTAAAAGTTCGCGACTTGTGAACTGATTTCCTTAATACAATATAAGGGTTTTTTACCTGCATCTCTTCCACGCCGAGCGCATCTCGGGCAACGTTTTGAAGTTCTTTACTAATCAGACTGGGATCCAAAAGGCTGGCACTTACTTGGCAAGACCATAAAACGACGAAATAATAAAGAAAGAACATCTCATAAATTATTTATCGTGAGTTAAACGCCGGTTATTCGTGATCGATGGAACTGCCGTTAGGTTTATGAACCGGTCAAAGATATTAAACACCTTTGTATGTCTTAGTCTATTGTTATATTCGGTGTGAAAGTAAAACTACTCCGTGAAAATACTACAAATACTGACCGCAAACATATGACGCACTTTATGCTCCATTTAACAGAAGTTAGACTGTTTTCGCCGGACGTGTTAAAAATAATTTTTAAACCACTACAATCAGACAACTTTATTATTTATTTGTTCTGACCTTACTTTTAAAATATCATTTCATAAGTTAACGGTCAGCTTCTCTGTCAAATATCAGTTTCGTCATCTATGCGGTTCTAAGGGGAATCCCCGATTGTCTATTTTGCGTTTAGATTCTCCGGCAATGGTTGTTAGTGAATTTCTTCCGCCAAAGGAATTTCTTCCTCTTAAGCTTCATTAAAAAAAGACTGATTTGAACGGTCCTGAAGAATTTTTTAAAAAAGAAGAAGCTAACGTTGCTTATAAAAAAAGCCTACAGTCATGTTAAGTTAGCCAGGCGAAAAAGTAATGTCTAATAATAATATAGAATGCAAATTGAAATCTTTAAACTTATGTAAAATATTCAATTTAAAAACTATTCAGGAAGAACGCTTAACGTTTTTAAATCTAAGTGTTAAGTCCGATGTGCCTTCATCGGTAAATACCAATCTCACATAACATTTTTTCATCATTTTGTCATCTTGGAGGCTGGGCAGTGTTTATTGGTGTTGACAGTTTGTGGGTCTCTATCAGTCTCTATATTGTTCGATGATATAAAGATAAACGTACGTGTAGATTAAAGTCGTTTAGGTTACTTGTCATGAATGAAATTAAATTTGTCGGCAAATATGTTGTGACGACAACTGCATGGCTGGGTAGTTTTGAATCGCCCTTGAATGATTAAGAAGGCGTGTTAAAGCCAACATTGCTCACGAATCCCGGGGGAAGAAGCTGTATAGGCATGTGTCGCTCCATAGGCTCTGGTTTCTGAGCCTTTGGTCTGAAAAAGGGTGGATTTTGCTTATGCTTTATGGTCTGGAATTGGAATATGGAACCAACTTATCGGACGTCCCCTAAAATCACGGGCCAGAAGACCAATTAATGTTAAATCAAATTGCAAAGAAAAAACGTAGGTCCTAAAACAAAGCAAGAAAATTAAAAGACGAAATATTTAGTATATCGTCGCCAAGCTATTTAACACTATTAAAGCCTCGATCTTGAATTTTGAAGAAAACAGCTTTCTGACCTAGTAATTACAAGGACTTTTTAAAAACGTACCCATGGATTTCAAGGGAGCCACAAGGGCGCAAATATTATCAAAACCTTTTAAATCCCATGAAACTAACTCTACAACAAAATCCGAAACAAAGCTAAAGGAAAATTTTATCGCATGGATTTTGAGGCCGTAAAAACACGTGGCATGTTTTGGTTTCAAATAGCGTCATGATTTTGAAAGCGGTCTCCATAACACTTCTCTCCCCCCCAAAAAATCCGAGAGGATCCCTCCAGGAACACTGATCAATATAAGAAAATGACTTCCTGTTTATTGAGATCATTTGAAGCCTTTGTCTCGAAAAGCAGTAGTTCGACTGCTTCTAATATAAGTCCAATATGAATGAAGTTGTATTGTCCTTAAGAAATGATATTTAGAAAGAGGTCTTTTTATTTATAAATATTCCGTTCATCAAGATCTTCGAGCAACCGGAAAATAACAGTCTTCGGTATATTGCATGTCAGCTCGGCTTTCAGTCGTTCCAGTGCAATAACGCCAGTTTTCTAGCTGTTTATTGCCATATATACAATGGCGAATAACTATTTCCGAAAAGAAAAGCAGACAAATAAATAAATTAATATTAAATGACAGCGCCGTAGCTAGTAAAATTTTGACGAATTTCGCCGATCATTTTTATTTTACATAAGCGATCATCGGATATTTTTAACGCATCATGATATTACAAAGAATTCAGCAATTCAGTCAACATACTATGAAAAAATTACCATATCATCGATCTCAAGGGGCTACGTACGTTAACTCAAATTTTTTTTGAACAAATACTGATCAAAACCATTGGCGAGGTTAACGGTCACCCAGATTATGTAGCTTGTTTCTGATTATTGCTTTTTAAATTCCACTTAAATTAACTCGAAAAAAAGTTACCGAAACGCCCAGAAAAAGCTGCAAATCGCATTTCCGAGAGACTAAAGTTCAAAATTTCTCGGGGGGGCATGCCCCCGAACCCCCCTAGCAACTCCCGCCAGCCTCGGTTGGCCGTTTGGTCTGGCTACGGCACTGAATGATAATTCAAGGAACCAACGAAGTAAACTTGAGCAGCAACAGATTGATACAAGAGTGGATACGCAACGTAGGGCACAGGAACGTGCTCTCCATGCACGACGCCTTGCGTTTCTCAGTTGTCCCTACTAGCAGAAACAAACATATGTTACTAAAAATAAAAGTAGGAAACGTTAAGATTGTTTTAAGTATGCGGTGATTCCCCACTGTTTAAATTGTATTTTCTAAATCAATCGTGTTTCGATGTATGACGAGTCCACAGTCCCAAGTCCCCATAATAAAGACTTGTTTGTTAGGTGGTGTATTCCTATATAATGCGAAGCAAGGCACGTTACTGTGTGTAGTCTCAACTCATAAATCTCTCTCGCACCAATGAATAGCGCACCAATTAGCTAAGAAAGCGCTCCGTCTTAATTGATTTCATTCTAATAATAATAATAATAATAATAATAATAATTTATCTAGCGCTATTCAGCCACTCTTTCATAGCGCTTTACAATGATTATGTTAACGTAGAACCAAAAAGCTAAAAAATAAAATACCGAGATAAATTTGTTAGAAAGCTAAAAAATATATATACATTGTACAAGAAATGAAACTTAAAAATCTAAAATCTAAAAATACTAAGATAAAATTACAGATAATGAAGGATATAAAAAAGGTGTATTAAAACTAGAAGATAAAAATCATAGGATTCTTTTCTTTAAGAAGATAAGTCTTTAAGAGCGACTTTCTGTAAATACCACGGATAGGTGTGCAAGATGGAAAAATCGAAATCCCCCAAACTTTGTCACAACAAAGCCCTTTGGAAACTATTTTAGAAAATACAAGACTCAGTTCGTTTGACTCAATATTTTCCAAAATAATAATTTTTTTTAATTTTCACCTTCGAGAGGCCTTCAAACCACCGAAAAATGTGCTTGATACCCTCGCTTCGTGAATGGAAACAGAAACTAATACCATAACTTTTCTTACATTAAACAATTTTATGATCCTTTCTTTCTACCTAAACGTTGTTACAATTTCAAAAGATTTCAATCTGATTTTTTAATATTTTTTCAAAATTACCCTCTAAATCAGCATTATCGCAACCATCAATTTTGTCATTTTTCAACGGCGAAAATCCTTTCCTGGTACATGGCTTTCATTACAAAAATGGTATTCCAGAGAAAGAGCAATGTTTCCCCTATCACTCTGTGAAATAAAATTCTGGGGCAATTGAAACTGCGAGTTTTTACAACGGAAAACATTTACGGTACTCGCGTGATTTATGACCTCTGAACTTGCAGTTGTCGTGATGAATACAAGCGAGAACCTTGATAGCACTTGAAACTCTGACGCAAATTCGCCCCTTTTCCGCCAGTTTAAACACCAAAAACGATTTTAGATTTCACAGTGGTAAATTTTCAAAAGGAAAAGCAATTTTATTGTGCGAAAGTGTGCTATGAACTTCTTGACTACAAACACTTCCCTTACGTGCGTATTTGTTTACTTTTGCCGTACACATATGTACAAAATGGCTAATAGTGGCGGTAGCTATTCTTTCAAATGCTCTCATTTCTCATGAACCAAATCGTTATAGCTATAAAAAAAAAGGAAAACATTTTGACCTACCTCACATTATTTGACAACAGACCCGAATCCTTTACTGCCTTTAGCGAAACGAGATTGCGTGACAAAGAACTTTGAGACCCAGGTTATACCGCGCAGACAGATACCATTGCGAAAAAGAAACTAACGCGGCACCTTCCGTAGCTATAAAAGCGAAACATGTAAAAAATCAAAATCGTTAGTTTCGTTGACTTATCTGCCAGAGCGACGTAACGCTAAAAAAATATTTTTTCGTCAAAAGACTATATAGGGGTGGGCCCTTATACAGTGGAACCGCGATATAAAGAACCTACGAATGATTTTCTTTACTTCGATAATAGTAAAATATGCCGTAAAACCTATATTAAAGCCCCCTAAACAAATAACCCCCCTCCCCTCTATCAAGCACCCGCTTCCCACCCGTAATAATTCTTCACTAATAAATGAAAGACTGTATTAATCAATCACGACCGTAAAGGCTTCGTGTGGACTGATCCGGGATGGTTTATTTACCAACTGGAAGTTCGGATTTGATTATGATTTTCGACTGCATGACCTAAAACTTCCTGTACTTGAGCTTTTCCACTTTGTATTCTAGTTCTTTATGGAGAAGCGATACCATCTTAGTTCTAAATTAAACATATTACGCCCCCCGTCTCTATTAAGCCCCTCCCCCTCAAACGAGCTTGAAATAATAAGACCCCCGGGGGAGCTTAATAGAGGATTTGCGGTATGAAAAAAAAAACCTCGATATAACGAAACCTCGTTATAGCGAGCACATTTCAGGGGCACTCAACGACTGTTTTCTGTAAAATATATCTTGGGAGAAGTAGATATTGCCTAGAATTTTCTATAGCTTGAGGACGCCTAAAAATTTCTAGATGACCGTTCCGTTCCTGTTCAATTTTCGAAGGTTATCTTATAAATTCCCTACGATTTTCTGAAGTTTAATTTTTCACATTTTACATCCCAGGTTAGGCTAATTTTTCATAGAAAAGAGGAAGCCTAAAATGTTCGGATTCAAACATGTGATTGAGAGAGGAATCAGAAAAATTCTCACTTTCGTGATA